GATAAATTCTGAGAAATGCATCATTAGATGATTTTGTTATTGGGCATAGACTGGACTTACAGAACCTAAATGGCACAGCCTAGCACGTACTACGCTATAGGGTATAACCTATTGATCTTTGTCAACATCATCACCGACACGTAAGCTCTGCACTGCTAAGTTACAACAGCTATGATGTCACTAAGCAATAGGATTTTTTCAGCTCCATTACAATCCTATAGGACTACCATTGTATATTCAGTCTGTCACCGAAATGTTATGCGGTGCATGACTGTAGTTCAATAATTTTTTAAAAACCAATCTTCAGGGTTTGCATTATTATGGCTGTTTTTCATAATATGGCATGTCGAGTGCTATAATTATATTTCCAATCTTGAGTAATCTGTTTTCCTTTCTTACTGTCTCTTTTGACCTTTGTTAGTTTTCTAACCACTCGTTACTAATTTAGAATCTGGCATGCATTAGTCTGCTTGGGCTACCATTAAAAATATACCCCAGATTTGGCTGGGCATGGTGGCTCACACCTGTAATCCCAGCACTTTGGGAGGCCAAGGCGGGCAGATCACCTGAGGTCAGGAGTTCGAGATCAGCCTGACTAACATGGAGAAACCCCATCTCTACTAAAACTACAAAAATAAATAAATAAAATAAAAATAAAAATAAATAGATGAATAAATATTTTAAAATTGGCCAGGAATGGTACCTGGAAGGTGGAGGTTGCAGCGAGCTGAGATCGAGCCATTCCACTCTAGCCTGGGCAAGAAAAGCAAAACTCGAGTCTCAAAAACAACAACAACAACTACAAAAACAACCCAGATTCTATGACTTAAACAAAAGACATTTATTTTCTCACAGTTCTGGCAACTGGAAGTTCTAGGACAAGGTCCCATCATAGCTGGTTTCCTCTGAGGCCTGTGACATTGGCCTCTTCACCTGGTTACTCTATGTGCACATGCACCCCTGATATCTCTGTATATCCTATTATTTTATTCTCCTCTTTTAAGGACATCAGCCATATTAGATTAGAGTCTACCCTAATGGCTTCATTTTAACTTAATTATCTCTTTAAAAGCCCTACATCCAAATACAGTAACATTGTGAAGAACTAGGAGTTAGGGCTCCAACAAGTGAAAATAAAAGGGGAGACGCATTGCAATCCAAAACACCTGACCAGAAGTGGAAAGCTGTTCTCAATATACTCAACCACATCAGGTAACACCAGCTTGGTCTCCTCCCCAGAGATGGCCTTCCCGAAGTTCTCCACTCCCCACAATGGTCTGACTGCTGGCACTGAGAGCCTGCTGTTTACGGTCCACTTCCACCATTAGTATGGAAATTTTCATTCTCTCCTGTGGTGGATCCCCTGAAGCTACTTCTCTTTCACTCACTCCTTGTTTTTGGTAAACACATCTTCCAGCAGCTTCCAGAGAGTTGTGCATTCTTTAAAATCTTTAGTTTCTATAAATAACTTCTTTTTACCTTCTTACTAGACCAAACTTTTGCCAGGATACAAAATTCTAAGTGAAAAAATATTTCCTTTCAGAATGTTGAAAGCATTGTCCCACTGTCTTCTGCCATTACTGATGAGAGGTCTGAAGATATTCTAACTTTCCACCCTTAGTTTTGAATATTTTCTTTTTTCTCCTATTTTTCCTCTTCCTCATATGCCTTTTCCTTTTTACTTTGGCTTTTCTTTTGTTTCCTTCTTCTTGACCAGCACAGAACTTCTCTAGTCCTAATTGTATAATGACTGGGCCCTCTCAATTTGACAATTTCTGTGTGGAAAATTTGAGTGCATTATGTCTTTCATAATATTCTACCCCAGTGTTTCATAAAATCCCTTTCTTAAATTCCTACTATATTGATATTGCTTCTCCTTAGCTACCATAATTTTCTCACCTTTTAAATTCTTCTTTTACACTATTTGGTTTTATTGCTTATTTTATTATTCTTCATTCTTCAATGTCCTTAGGTTTACGTTCTAGGCTTTTTATTAAATTATTCATTTGTTACGCTAGATTTAATTTCCAGGAGCTCTTTCAGGTTCACTGAATGTCTTGTTTTGTTTTGTGATCTAGTCTACTATACTTGTTTTATGTATGTACGATATTCTCATATAACTAGGAATATTTATTAAATATATATTTTAAGATTGATTTTTTCTTTTCCCAGAACTATATGGTATTGTTTGTTTCCTCTGAGTTTCTCTTTTTGTGCATGTGTTTTTTGTTTGTTGCTTATTCCTTCTTGTTCTTGTTAGAAATGTCCTCAAAGCCCTGTGTCTGGTGTCTGAATACAAGTAGGAGTTAAGCACTCAAAAGAGGTTAGTATTTGAGTGTAGGCAGAGAGCTTTTTTCAAATAGATTTTATTTTAGAGTTATCAATTTTTAATATTGCACTAGGGAACACCAGGTTTCATATCTCTGCACACACACACACACACACACACACAGACGCACACACTTTTGATTGATTGATATAAGGCATTTTATCTTGTGTTGAATCATTTCCCCTGAGGAAACTCCTCCAATCTTGTGTCAACATCAATAGAGATACAGATCAGGCTGTAACAGTTCTCAGAGGCATTCACTGAGGCAACTTACTCTTAATTCCCTTAATTTTAGCATGGTACCTAGACTCTTAACTGTAGGTGGTGTTTCTGAGTAGAGAGTATCCCTGGATCAAATTCTCCAAAACTCTTTTACCAGGATTAGGAAAGTAACCTGCAATGGATATGTAGAGGGGTTCAGATAACTTACTTTTCTTACAGACTTATAACCAGTATTCATATATTTAGTCATACATATAACCCTACATTCAGAGACATCTGGTACCTCTATTTTCTGAGACTGTTGAGGTTCCGTTGCAAAAAGCAGCTTGCTTCTAATTTGTTTCCTGTCTCAACTTAAATTTTTACTTCCTTCACTGTTGCCACTCATCCATCTGCTTTGCAGCTTGCAAAATTATTATTAATATAAAATTAGTATTTTCTCATCTACCAAATCTGTTGTCCCTATAGGTGTAAATCTTCTTACTCACTTCTTCCAATTTAGTAGTGTCAGGAAAAAAAAAAAAAAGAATACATTTGATTAACTAAAAGCTTCCAAATTCACATTATAAAGGGTACCCTAGAAGATATTATGTATTTATTTCCTAATGCTTACACCTCCCTTGTTACACAAAGATAGTATACCTACTGAAAAACTGAAAATATTTTAAAGCCAAATTACCACTCGAACGGGCACAACACTCACAATGACATAAGTCAATCAATTACAGAAACACTTGATTATCTTCAGTTCAAATTCATTTCTTCAGTAAACATGTTTGGAGTACCTACGACGTTGAACCAATTAAAAGACGATTAAAGTAGTGCTTAAATGAACTGATGAATCAGTCTGATCTGAATTCAGGTAGTAATTGTGAAGAAAGCGGGGAGCACATACTTTTTCTTATATATATATATAAAAGAAAAAGTATATATATATAAATATATTTCAAAAAAATTTTTAAAGTTTTCCAATCATTTTTTGGTCTACACTCTTCTTTTTTTTTTTTTTTTTTTTTTTTTTTTAGTAGAGACGGGGTTTCACCGTGTTAGCCAGGATGGTCTCGATCTCCTGACCTCGTGACCCGCCTGTCTCTTAGCTTCTAGGGCTGCCAAACAAAATACCACAAGCTGGATGGTTTAAACAACAGAATTTTATTGTCTCACAGTTCTACAGACTAGAAATCAGAAATCAAGGTGTTGGCAGGGTTGGGTCTTCCTGAGAGCTGTGAGGGAAGGATTTGCTCCAGATCTCTCTCCTTGGCATGTATATTGCCAAATTCATGTTTACATGGTGTTTTCCCTGTATACATGGCTGCCTTCAAATTTTCTCTTTTTATAAGGACACTGGTCATATTAGATTAGTGCCTATGCTAATGGTCTCATTATAAATTTATTACTTCTTTCAACACCTTATCACCACATAAGTTCACATGCTGAGGTACTAAGGGTTGGGACTTCAACATAAGAATTTTGCACGGCCACCATTCAGCTAATAGCTGTCACTCCAAATGAAAGATGAGAAAATCAGTTTAAAATCTTAGACATGGATAAGTAGTTTAGGTAAATTAGAATGAGGACAACACAGAGCCTGCCCATTCAGAACTTACAGTCCTAGATTAATGTAAAAGAGTATGCCTATTAAGTACTCCAGAAGAGAATAAAACATATACCTGAAAGACTTATGCACATTTTGCCTTTTCTCAGTTGCTATAAAAACCACCAATTGTTCTCATATGTCCACACACCACAGATAATGGCTACAGATGGAGTCAATGGCTTATAAACACAGGAGATAGTAGAATTTACTGAACATAAAATAATGAAGCACTTTTAAAAGTAATAAAATGAAAAATTTTAAAATACAGTTTATACCATTATTTGCTTTATACAATTTAATTTAGTTATAAGTTTAATAGAACTGTGGAACTAAAAAATGCATCATAAATATCATATAAGCAAAAGGTTACCAAACTGAAATGTGTTTCAGAATTACCTGGGGAGCTTTTAAAAATATAAAGATTGTTGATTACCACCCCAAATATCTTGAATAGAAGGTTCTCAAATGCATATTTTTAAGAAACTCTCCAGTTGGTTCTAATGCGTGTTCCATCTGTTTTGTCTTAAGGTTGAAAAAACTGAGGCCACTTTAACAAAACTACAACTCATAAGACATATTTAATTAAAAAAAGGGGTCTAGTTCTGTTTATATATGATTCATTTTGACCAACAGATTATGAGAGTATTTGTAGAAACTATTTGAAAAACACTTTTGTTAATATAATCGATACAACTGTTCTTAAGGAAAAGGCAGCTCTGTAATATTTGTTTCCTTTTAGTAAAACTTTAAGGTCACCAACACTTAATGTTGGCAGATTTTTAAAAACTCAAATTTAAAAAAATATTTTAAAATGGAAAGCACAACTTACTAAAAGAGATTTTAGAAACTTACAGATGATGTCCTATCCACTTCACAACGGCTACTGAGAATAAAACAGGCCTCGGCGTCATCCATCCTAAATACAGACGGAAAAACAAAATAATCACACACTGAAATATCTACACGTTTTCTGAAAAATAGAATTTAAGTCTTTAGTCCATATATTGCACAAAATGTACATGTAGACCATGTGTATCCTTAAGCTTAAATGAAAGTTGAATTTCTAGTAGATCTTAACTATATCTGACTCTGAAGAAAAAAAAAAATCTGCTACTGGGTTGTCTATTATAACTCAATGTTTTATGACAAAAGTTAATAAAAGTCAAACTTTATTCCTTTTTGCTATTAAATGTATTTTATATGCATGCTTTGAGTAAATTAAGGGGATATATTGGTCTTTATTTTATGACTAATCGTATTTTAACTGTAATGTCTGAATCAAACTAAGAGGGGTGGAATACAGCTTCTCTATATTCATAAGTCAAACTCTACTCTGTATTTATACTTCCTGGAGATCATTCATCCTTTCCCAAGCCCCTTCCCCTCATGCTAGGGTTCAATATTTCCTAAGTTTAGTGATGAAGACACAGTATATTTTAGTGTTTGATACATGATGTTCCAAAAGCACAGGAATGTTTATTTTCAAAATGAGGAATGATTTATCTCTGTGGTTCACTGTGATAAAGTAAATATTTTCCAAAAAAAAATTTTCTATGGAGAGGAAATATAAAAGTCTTTGAAATAAGACCAAACCAAACAGTTGTGGGAAGATGTTGCGCCATGGTTATTAAGATAATAGAAGTGTTGAATAACTTTCTCTAAATACCATTTTCAACGAAGCAATTCAAAACTCATGCAACTAACCTATGAAACTTGTTTGGAGAATCCTACTCCATGCTCTATGCATAAGGAATTGCACTGAAAAATGTATTAGTTTATATTAAATCCCAAATCTTTTATAGGAAGCTAAGATTGGAAATGAACATAAAAATGGATACTGCGTCACTCTTATTTTTTAAAATAGTTTTTTGAGTATGACCAGCCAGCTACCTCTCTCTCTCCTTCATTCCCTTCACTTTTCCTTTATTCCCATGGAGGAATTCTTCTTGTAAATATGATTGCTTTTACCAAGAGATCATTTTAAGACTATTAGTAATAAATTAGTTATATTAATCCTAAATAGTATATAGCTTAGATACTAATAGCTATACCAATAACTCAGATAAATTTGTTAGATAGAAAGAAGCCTCCATATATTACACGAATTCATATTGAACATAATATGAATATTACTCATGCTTATTGTGTGAAGAACTTAGCTGTCATACAATAAATAAGGAATATTGATTATCTACACCAATTAATACAAAGATCTAGATTATAGTAGTATCTAAGCGTCTATTTCTCTAGCACACCCAAATAATGAGTATAGATAGCAAACTCTAAACACCTAAAGCCAGGGTTTACCTGATGTGCTGGGAAAATCTGATGACTTATAGAACTGTCACGTGTACACTGACCACAAATATATTTAATCCACCTAAAAGATGAATATACTCTCAAAGAAATGTAACTTTCCAATTAGGTAACACTCATTATATCCTGCTAGTTTTTCGTGATGTTTTTGTTTCAGAAGTTAAATCAGTGAAAAAATACTCCATTAAATTGACTTCATTATATATAAATCAAAGGTAACATCAGAGTTCCTGACTAGGTATCCAGTCATCATTTGAAGGATTATGCAGCACAAAGGAGTCTGGAAGTCTGTTCCACAAAACAGTTGACTTTTCTTCTGTTCTTTTCCAACACCCACTAGACACACACACACACAAACACACACACACGCTTGCAAACACGGTGAAGACAGGCACAAACACACACCCACTCGTGCACACTCAGGTTATCCAGGAAAGAAAAAAAAAGTATAAAGCACTTATGATATTCAATTCAGTGGGGAGACTTTTAAATCTAGAAGGGCATGTAGGGCAACTCAAGGATAAACATGAAGACATGTTTAAAACTTTAAAAACAGCAGAAAATATTGAGCAAAACCACTTTTGTTGAAGACACCTTCTGGCATCTGAAACTAAGGACATTGTTTTGCAGAAACTCTGTTTCCCTGGTGTCCACACTCTGCTCAATAATACTGACACTCTGCTCGTACGATATAACTCGTTAACTTGTGACAAATGTTTAAGACCATGTCACCTTTAAGACAAATTGCCTGGTACATGCACAAAAAGAAGAGGATAGCTAAGTAAGACCTGTCACCTTTCTGATTCCTCTAGTCCACAGCAACCATTTTATCTCTGACCCCAGGGAACACAAGTGCTCTCTGTCCAATACATAGTGCAAGGTCTTTAAAACGTAAACCCTAACTCACACTGCACTGGTATGTCACATCATATTTAGCCCACAATTTTTATATGTGGGATAAAAACAGTATCCAGGGATTTGGAGACTACTCTAACAGTGAGTCTAGATGCCTCTGTGAATCTCTGACAGCTTAAGATAATTATACTGGGCCACTTTTCTCATTGTGTTGTGTGGTCACAGTCTGCTGAACAATTCTGCCTTGAGATGAGGTTGAAAAAGAGGAGTAAACACACTGATTTCATGATACATTTTTAACCTTTTAGTTTGGCCAGCAGAGGGACTAAGGCAAAAGTCTACACTCAAACATCAACACATCTTGCAACACCGAAAATTGCTAAAATTTGGAGGAAAGAGAAAATATTAAGTCACTCAAAATTGTAAGCTGCAAGATGAAAGGCAGGGATACTTACTTTGCTCTCAATAAGTCTTGATCTTTAAGGGCTGAACCTTGAAGGTAGATAACTCTTTGGGACCACATTGGAATCTGCAGTACCCTTCGAACTTGTACATCCATTTCAGTAGGACACAAAATCACCACATAATAATCCTATTCAAAACAAAATGGGCAATGGAATAGAAACAATAATGTTTTATGCTATACTACATTGAAAAATAAAATACCTAAGAAAAATCTGAAATATGATAAAACTGAAATGAACTTTTGCTAATAAAATTTCACATTTAAAACCTGTGCATATATTAAATAGCATTACACCATAATAAATACAACTGGGACATACACAAATCTCATAAACCAATAAGTTCATCTCAACTTATTTCAATCTTACTAAGAGCATAAGGGAAGGTAATCAGTGGTTATACCTGACACACACTTTCACATTGTGAAGATTTAGTTCTATCCACAGACTGATCCTAAAATATACATTGAACACCAGGCAGAAACATTTAAGTATCATACTTCATTACTTTTAGGATCAAAACTGTGGTAGCGATTTATATCATTTGGCTATATAATTATGATACAATAATTTTAAACAGTTTCTGGTGGATATTTGAATGAATAAGGATTCATAAAAACACTGAAAATACTGATAAAATAAATTAAAAGAACATTATATCAAAATATTATAAATATATGGTCATTTGGAGAAAATTACATCTAAGTGGTGAAACGGTTTAAAACAATGATCTATAGAAATTAAAATTCTCTGGTAAACTTTCACCATTTTACCGCTGTGAAATATATCTACTAGGAATTTCTGGAGTTTAAATAATTCTCTACATTGATACTAGACAAAGTTAATGACTGTGTGATATGGTTTGGATTTGTGTCCCTGCCCAAACCTCATGTTAAACTGTAATCCCAAATGTTAAGGGAGGGGCCTGCTGGGAGTTGACTGAATCACGGTGGCAGATTTCTCCCTTGCTGTTCTCCTGATAGTGAGTGTATATCACACCCTCTTCCTCCTGCTCTGGCCATATGAGGACACACCTGCTTCCCTTTCATATTACATATGACTGTAAGTTTCCTTAGGCCTCTCCAACCATGTTTCCAGTATAGCCGGTGGAATCATAAGTCAATTAAATCTCTTCTTTGTACATTGCCCACTGTCAGGTATTTCTTTATAGCAGTGTGAGAACAGGCTAATAAACCATGGGATCAGAATTTTCCCCCAAATGGATTTTCTTTATGGGTTATAATAAGTAAGCTTGAAATTAATTAAATATAAATAATTTTAAAAAACAAGTAAGTATGGAGTTGCTATTAAAAATTCAAGTTAACATGAAAAGAGTGAAATGAAAACAAAACAAAAGAATAAGAACAAAATGATTCTGTCATTTAAGACAGAACAAAATGATTCTACCATTTAAGAATCAATTGTAAATTAGGTGTTTTAAAACACAAAAATATAGTATTTATAAAGGTCTCCAAAATATTCACAAATCAATATTTCTATGTTTTGTAAGGAAAGGATAATTAGATATACTAAGCATTGTCTTGAAGTCTAGAGTTATTCAACTTCTTGACACAAATTGGTTGAGTTAATACAAGACCTTCAAATATATTAAGTGCAGTAATCAGGAAAGGAGATTAATGCCGTGGCCCATAGCAGAAAGTGGAAATATTCAAGAATTTGATCTGCATAGACAGAAAAAAAGTTTCTTCTTAATTCATATTCTCAATTCACCTAGTTATTGTCCAATTTTTGATCATGTATTGCTATACAAATAGGACCTATTTATACTTCAGGAAACAGAAGAAAAAAAATGAAAGTCCCAGACTTCCACATTTCCATTAGCAATCCTTGATAAAATTCTGCAGTTTTTAACTGAGCAGATGATATTGAAATGGTTTCCTTCTTGTTTTATCATATTTTATCTTAAAATTCACTGTTTCATAAAAATATCATTTATGCTCTACCCAAGGGAGAAAAAGCAATCTTTTAATTCAAAGAAAAATCTTCTTTGTACCATTAACATTATTCCATCTGTCTTTTAGCGTAGATACAGAAGGAAACTTAAAATACTGTGTATTCCTTCAGCATTTTTTTCTATGTTCCTGGTTATATTTGTGGTTCTTCATTTACTCTTTCTATATTTGGTTGTATAAATAAAAATCCTCCACAAAGCAGGCTGCACCATCAGTTAATTGACTTTGACAATATGTTAGTAGGTACAATCCAGTATAGTACATAACGTAAGCCAAATGTACCTGGAGTCGAGGATGAGCATAGAATTCATTTAAAAAATCCATAAGTAAATCAATCTTCAGTGAGCTGACACACAGGACGACATGCTTTTCAGTTTGAGCTCTATGTCGACTATAGTTTCCACCTGACTTTTGTCTCTCCATCCACAAATAAGCCAGCTGTTCAAACTGTAATATATTTTCCACATATGAATGAAAAACAAGGTAAGGAAATAAATAAATCAATGCAATACATCTATTGTTTATTAAGTACTTTCAATTTCCCAGACGGAACTCATTGAGATTCTAATTGTCAGTGTTCCCCTTCAACAACAGACTTTTCATATAATTTCTACAGGGCTGCAAATGCCTCCCGGGGGCTTCAGGTCTCTAAGGAAACATATTAACATGATTTTGCTATTACATAATAACAGGCCACAAAGAGGTTTGTACCTCTGCTTTATGTCCAGTAGAGCTGAGTGAAACAGAAAAGCCTCATTGCTATTTTCCGACATTCTCTGTCAAGTTCTAACCACATCTCATGCAATAGGAGTTACTCTTACCACAACACACAAGGCCACATTCTAGCTGTATAGTAGCCAGCAACTGAGTAAAGTGAAAGGTGCAAGGGAGGGATGTCAGGAAGAAAGACATGCATGGATTTATTGGAGTAGGAAGGCCATTTTTGTAGGTATTCTATTCAGAAACATTGCAGCCAAAGTTTTGCAACGGAATATGCAAGTTTGATTTGCATTTCCCCATAGCCTGCTTCTGATCTGCCCACACATGGACACCCAGGGCTTATTATAGGAAAGAGTTAGAGATTGCATCTATTTATTTTTAATTTCATTTATATATCTGTCCCTTTGCAACCTCCTTACTCATTCCTCAAAGTGCCACATAATATTTACATACCATGTTCAGACTTTTTCTTTCTTCTTTTTTTTTTTTTTTGTGGAGATGGGATTTTACCTTATAGCCCAAGCTCATCTTGAACTCCTGGGCTCAAGTCATCCATCTGCCTCAGCCTCCCAAAATATTGGGATTATAGGCATGAGCCACTGTACCTGGCCCAGATTTTGTTTTATTTGGCCAACATAAGTAATCGATTTGTCTTCATTGCACTGTATGATTTTGTGGTTTATTTTGAAGAACCAAGATAAATCAACCCTTCACAACTTTATTTCTTTGATCTAACATCCTATAATTTAAAACTACATTATTCTATATTTAATATAATTAAGTACTCTATATTTAAAAAAAATCTTGAAGGATTGAAATAAGATGAGCGCCATCAATTATGACTAGAAGGATAAAAGAAACAACTTGGTGTTTCTAATAAAATGTAAAATGACATTTCTGCAGTAATTTATGTAATTGCTTAAATGTAATGATAATATGTGTTAGTAAATTATTGTTAGATAGATAAGCCACTTTCCATTTCTTATTAAATGTGGAGGATTCAATTTCATGTCTCTGTACATTTTTATACAATGTAAGATGGTTATGTTTACCTGTATGGGTAGAACCACAAGAGCAACACAAATCATAGCAACGACAAAAAGCTTGGAGGACCATGTTTCAGGAGTGACATCCCCAAAGCCCACAGTAGAAAACGTCACAATGCAGAAATAAAGGGAGTCAAAGAGATTCAGCTTCTTTCCTATTCGTTCCAGATGTTGGATCCCACAAATGCTAAAGAAACAAATATGAATTAAACTTAAATCTTTCAAATGGGACATAAAAGTTCTCATCATTATTCTGTTGAAAGCCAAAGCACATTTCATAAAGCGATTTAATAGTCAGGCTCTTATATTTTATAATATATTTTTCTAAGGAAAACATAATTAGTAAGTTATTTTCCTACATTGACCAGATATGCTCTTATTTTGATTAGTGACCAAATATGGTAGTTAAAATATCACATAGTATATTTGAGTAACTTGTAAAACGAACAGACAATTTCATGGGTGATACACAAAGACACCGAATGAACATCGAGATCAGAAATCGCTACACTGAATCCCTACCAAAATACCAAGTCTTTTCTTTTTCTTTTTTTATAATTTAGGAAGAAGAGACAGTAAAAGGCTTGAGGAGTTAACAATTTCCAAGTGCTATGGTTTGAATGTTGTCCCCTCCAAAACTCATGTCAAGAGCAAACACATTCAAAAGCTAGCAGAAGGCAAGAAATAACTAAGATCAGAGCAGAATCAAAGGAGATAGAGACATAAAAAACCCTCCAAAAATCAGTGAAACCAGGAGCTGGTTTTTTGAAAAAATCAATAAAATTGATAGACCGCTAGCAAGACTAATAAAGAAGAAAAAAGAATCAAATAGATGCAATAAAAAATGATAAAGGGGATATCACCACTGACCCCACAGAAATACAAACTACCATCAGAGAATACTATAAACACCTCTATGCAAATAAACTAGAAAA